TCTTAAATGCTTATATTTGCAAACGCTATAACAGCATTAAAATGTTTTCGTCGAAACACAGCCGTATTTAAAGCGCGATTTACTAATTAATGGATCAAAACGTTTTATTTATAAGTTGTAATTGTACCATTTCCTATTTCTTTCTTTTTTTCATTTGCTTTCCCCTTCTTCGTCCTCAATTTTTATACGTACAATTCAGTTGAAAATTCACTGAAATCATTAGTTAGAAAGTTCAAATACATTGCAGTTTTTAGTTTTTCAGTTGCAAACGATATTTGAAGTGCACGAATCAGAGGGTTCCAGTTGCGATGAGTCGCGAACACCGTCAGTTATTCTTGATGCTATCACTGTTCCTGATGCTGTTGTTGCTTCGTCGTCGAGTTTCGAAAAAAATTCAAAAGACGAACTGGAATCACAGCAAAGGTGAAATTCCAAAGAGTCATCATTCGCTTGCAAGGTTTTTATGACATAAACTTAACCGCACCAACAACACTGGTGTAATTTGGCCAATGTCCTGTAATGTCTAAAATTATCTTAAAAGTTGTATTTTGGGTTGATTTTTTAGGATACATCGCAGCTGCTCCGAGATACTGACATTACCGTTTTATGAGCGGAAAAGCGTGCACGACTGCATTGCTTATTTGAACAGTAAACAGTTCTTCTGTCCACGTCGTTCGCTACCAGTTACATCAAAAAAGAGTAGCTCACTTCAAGCACCTCAGGTCTTTCTTTTTCAAATTTTTTTGAAACATTTTTGCAGCTTTTTCAGCTACCATCGAACTGTGTTTGCAGAATTTTTAAGTGCATTTGACATTTGCAGTATTATTAAGCTTTTTTTCCTGATTTTGTTTTTTGTGTAGGCACTTTTTGCACTTCTATGTAGGCACTTTAATTAGCTAAGATCTGTATAATTACCTGCATTTATGTGAAATTTAGCAAAAATTCAAAAATTCTGAAGGCTTGAAAAGACAGTTCAACATATTTTTATCCTTTTCCAGCTGAAATTCGCTGCGTGGTTTTTCAACTATGCAGCTGGCCATTTTTTCTGTCACCTTAACCAATGTTACATCACCTTGTGGCCAACATTTTAGCATGCCTAGGGTTCTTCCGTCTCTTGGAGCATATTATCAATTCAGTATTATTTCATGCAGAAGTACCCCAAAAAGTTTTTGATGCTTTTCGCATTGTCACAGTATTGTGCTTTCAGATAAGCAGAAGCAAAATGAGACGCTTGTCCTCAATAATAATTGAATGGGAACGGGCCGGACGCTCATCGATCTCAGATTTTACGCGTTTCTATAGTCTGGCACATCGAGAATCGTTCTACTGTGCAAAACGTAAACTCGCCGGTCTCAAGGTAACAGTTTTAGGCTTTTATGATAATAATGAAGGCTACCGGCATAAACAAATCTTCCCTCTTGGTACCATTTTCAAGAACCTGTCCTAAACGATTAAAGGGCTTTTCGAGAACTATGCGATTATCGAGAGTTTAAAAAAAAATTAAAAAAAGAAGGATGCGCACTAAGTTTCATGCGTTTCCTTTTGGCACCGTTGTATTTACATTTAAAAGAGGAGCAATCTCAACCCTACTCGAAAATTCACCTGGTTTTTTGCTATTCTTTACAGTGACTGATATATTAAATTGTAGCACTAAGCCTGAATCGAGAGCCTTGAAGATCCTAGAAAAAAATATTCGCAAAAAAAAAGAAAGCTTCGGAGGACCTCCAGAAGAGTGGTTTTGTCAACTATCAGCTAACATACACTCTTTGAATAGAGTCTACACTTCTACTTTAACCTAATAAGTAACTTGACATTTAGACGAATGCTATTCGGTGCACCAAAACGTTTCTCAGTCAAATTATTATTACTTTATAAATATCACACGTTTCAATCATTAATATTTCCAGTGTACCTCGCCTCTTGGCCATTACCCATAGTCTTCGAATTGCATCTTCAAAGATGTGTTAAAGCCTAATAACAAAACTTAGTATCTGACTTTAAATAATTTTCATTATTGAACCCAATAAAAGCAAGGCCGAATTACACTCGGCTAAAAGTTTCGCACAATCTTTGCAAGAACTTCTTGTCGTTTAAATACTTCTAGTACCATTTATGGCACTTTTTGCAGAACTGGGCTTTGGATCTCGTTGCAAGATTGCGGCTCAGACAGGGAGGAGCGATACGAAGAGAGAAACGAGCTACAAAATTAGTTGCTGTTGTTTTAGGTATTTCATTACATTTGCAAGCATTGTCACGGAAGTCACGAAAAGCCAGCAGTTGTTGAAAGGGCTTTTTGCACAGGGTGTAATTGCCAGGCGACATAGAGTATTTGAGCCACCCATGCGGGTTAAGAATTAGTCCAATAATTTGCCTTTGAAAAATACACATGTTCTTGCACATTATTGCAAATCAATATCCACAGCCTTGTAAATAACCTATGGAAGCCGCCGACAACCTTACCAGCGGGTGGTTGCTGTTGGCAGTTGGTACCATTCGAATTACTTCCAAGTGCTTCCACGTCTCACAAACAAAGAATTATCCAGAAGACTTTCATTTTTTGGCTTGGTAAGTCAAGAGAAAATTGCTGTAAGAGCAGCACCGATGAGGGTGCGCCTCTTACAAAATATTAAAAAAAAGACTAATGTTTTCGCGAAAACACCCTTTTTGAGACTCACTCTTTTAATACTCTGTGAATGATTCGGGATCAACCAGTGCTTTGAAGTAACTCTCGAAGAAAGGAATCATCGACAGTCTTTCCAGCAGATGATTGCTATTGGCAGTTGCTATCGCACGGGCAAACACAGAGTGCCCTAGCTTTCTTAGAGAGCGGGAGTTGAGGGATTTCAACGTTTTCTTTTGCAAGAAATATCCAATTGCTCATTATTTTAATTATTTAGTTTCAAATACCCATTGTGCGTCCTTTCACTGCAAAATTAAAACAAAACGTTGCCAGAAAGCCACCCGACTAGAAATTTTGCATTGTTAATTAAGAAACAATTGCCAAATGTTTTTTCCCCGTTTTCTAACTGCAAAACTTTTTTTAACTCTTCTGGGACTGGAAAAATACTTTATTCTATGCAAAACATAATGGAAGTAAAACACAGCGAATTACGGCTTTCATTTTAATGCTAAAAACATTAGCTTCAATAATCACTGTGAATATTCCATGTTAGCAGTGTCTGCATACATCATACACAGGCGTTCGAAGCTCTACAGCATGCTCAGTTACATATTTTCAATTACTATGCAGTGATTGCTCGATATATTATGCAACAGTCTGTTGAAAAGCGCTTAACTGATTCTCACGGGTACAAATTCGCTGATGGGTGGTGTCCATCGACTGTCGATAGGTCGAGCAACGTGCTCTGCTTATCGGATTTTACTTTCTCGCGTGGTCGCAGTGATTGCTAAAATGCCATTGCCTTGTGCATTGACCTTTAATACTTGATGCGGGCAAAAATTCAATGAAAACAGACGAGTATCACACCTAATTATTTGTTGTGCATTGTAACTCCTGAGCACTAGTACCAAATTAACATTGCTTTTTCAAGGACGTTCAATGTTTTTTACTTTGGTGGAAGGGGGATAAAGGTGTTCTTTCTCATCGAATTCAGAATTGAAAACATTTTCAGTTGCTTTTTTGGCTTGTTGGTTGCCATTTTTCACGCTGAATATGGTGAAAGTATATAAACTAATGTACAGCAGTTGGCCAGAACATTTGGAGATTCTGTTTCACTGGTTCACTGCGCTTGGATACCTCAATTCGTCGTTGAATTTTTTCATTTATTTTGCTATTCATAAGGTACGCTGCTTTAAAACGTAAGCGCCGCTTTCAAGCCGCAGCTGCGTATACTTATTTCGATAGCACAGGCGCATATGCATAAATTCCTTATTTATCTTAAACTGTTTCTTCACATTAGATTACCCCAGAAAAATGCATGTAGATGCATGAAAATTTATATCAGTTTCATTTTGAATTTCGCACAGGAATTTAGGCAAAAAAAGCATTTTTGTTTTACCAATAAAGGCTTCAGAAATATACGAGTTTTTTAAAAAATTCGATAAAAAGTAAGCGAAAAAAGGTTGGTTTTCCTTCTGTCCGTATCTGATTCCCGACGTGGTACCAGACGCAAGTGCATCTGCGACGTGCGCAAGTATTACTGGCTGACTTTTTCCAGGGCTTGTTTTCCTTAACTGCGGAACTTAAAAATGCCGAAGGAAGCTTTTACTCGGTCAATTTTGTCCACTTAATTTTGCGTGACAGCAATTTTTCCATATTTCAGAAATTTCGGACAACATTTTGTCGGATGTTAAGGCTTCGTCGAAAGCGAAGCAGTAGCCGAATGCATAAGGTGCTATTGCATACTGTAGCCGATTCAAAACATGCAATACAGGGAGCACTAAAACAGCGCTGCCGTAAACCAACATGCTGGAAAAGGTACATTAAAAAATCTCAAAAAAGAGGTTAAATTGATCCAGAACTGAGCAAATTCTGCAATAAGGAAAGTATAAATAGATATTTTGCAGGCGAACAGTTAAGAATTCAAGTAGAAGCGATGTGCCGGTGATTGTTGTTCAGGAAGCCACTCATGACGAAGCCGTATTTTCAACAATAACCAATGAAGAGGGTGTAACTTTCAGGTTGCCTTTTATTCTCGATCCAGTTAAGCACTAAGATAAAATCTGAAACCTGTATCTTACTTACAAGTGCTTTTTTCGCAAATTAATCACATAAAAAGTTTTTTTTTATTTTCCACCAAATTTTTATGTTGTTGCCTAATACAAAACTGTCGGGCTTGAGCCCTAGATCCAAATGCGTCAGCTGGAAAACATACTTAAGCATACGTACAGTGTTTTTTTTAGGGAAAGCCTGCTGAATCGCTCTTATTATTCCTGGATATTAGGAGCAGTTGTAATTTGT